ACCTCCTTCATGATTGGATTCAACCTTCTTTGCAGTTGTCAAGACGATTTGGAGTCATCTTTAAGATAAATTCGGTGTGTGCAAATAAGGGGGTTTATCCCTTTAATATCGGCAATTGTCCAACCAATCTTCCCTTTATGCCTCCTCAACACTTCCAAGAGCTCTTCTTTTTGCTTTACATCCAACATTGAGCTAATCACCACTGGAAATGTCTCATCTTCCCCAAGATATACATACTTCAAGTGGGATAGTAGCAGTTTCAACTCCAAATTGGGTTTTTGTACATCCGATGGAAAGATCTTCGTCTTGGTGTGAGAGCTTCTCAAATGAAGGGATCCACTTTTCTGCCCCTTTCAAACTCTCCGATTCCTCTTGTTCCTCAACCTCCTCCATATCAACATTCTCCTCTTCTTTCAACTTTAGTATGCCCAAAAATTCCAAGTGTTTTTCTATCAATGTGTCAATCCTATTAACTTCGTGTACCTTCTCATCATCCCCCAATTACTTGGACAAGTTGAACACGTTGAAATCCATGGTCACGTTCTCAAATGCTAACTTCATAAGATCGTTCCTGTAATTAATCACAGCATTAGATGTGACTAAAAAAAGTCTTTCAAGTATTACAGGGATTTGGGAGCTAAGATTTGCAACTGGGTGAGTGTCAAGCACAATAAAATCAACAGGAAAGTAAAATTTATCAACTTACACCAAAACATTCTCAACTACTCTCCTCGGTGTTTGAACACTACGGTCCGCTAGTTGAAGCGTGATTGGAGGAAGCTTTAATTCCTCGAGCTGAAGTTGTAGGTACACCGAGTACGAAAGGAGGTTCACACTAGCCCCCAAATCAAGGAGCGCTTACTCCACCCGATAATTTTCAATTGTTATTGCAATGGTAGGACAGGCGAGATCTTTAAACTATAGAAGGGTGTTTGTCCTCAAAATCGAGCTCACTTGCTCAGTGAAAAATACTTTCTTGTGGACATTGAGCCTTATCTTTACCGTGCATAAGCCTTTCAAGATCTTTGCACATGATGGAATTTGCGTTATGGCATTAAGCAGTGGAATGTTGATTTTTACCTACTTAAACATTTCAAGTATATTAGCATAATTAGCCACCTTCACAGGTGACTTCAAACGATTAGAAAAAAGAGCAAGCATGGAGGAAATAAGAACACTTTCGTCAACCATTTTTTTCTTTTCAACCACCTCACTTTCTTTCTTCTCACACACCTCACCCTCGTCGGTGTCACCCATGGTGTCTTTCTCTTTTGGCCATATGGCCTTGGGTGAGAGCTTTGGCACAATAGTTTTATCAATTTACTTGCCACTATGAAGGATGATAACCGCCTTGAGTTGCTCATAACTCTCTCTTAAGGGCTTCAATGACTCAACGACATGTTGGCCTCTAGAGTTCTCTTGGAATTGAGCGAGAAATTTTCCTTTCTCTTGTTGTGACGCCCCCATGGAGTTTGTCAATTTTGTGAGTTGGTCCTAATGTCATTAAAAGCTATGGCATTTTGATTGTTAATGGTGGTCTGGTTTTGATTGAAGGTAATCTGGCTTTGAATGAAAGTATGAACCATATCCTCCAAATTCCTCTTGTGAGGAGGTTGATATGTGGGAGGATTAGATAGTCCTTAGGAAAAGTTCTGTGGAGGTGGATTTTGGGAAAAATTTGTGAGGGTGGGGTAGATGAATACCCTTGCGGATTAGTCCGGGGGTATTGGAATCTAGATGCTTGACCTTGGGATTGAAATTGATTTTGCCTAGGAGGCACGGGAGGTGTATATGCATTTGAACCATGAGGAGTGGGGTTATCATTTCTCCAACTAAAATTCAGGTGATTGCTCCAATCTGGATTGTAAGTGTTTGAATGTGGTGAGAATGATTGTCTCGTTTAGTTAAAAGCATTGACTTGCTCGTGATACACTTCCTTAAGTGCCAGAATGTTAGGGCACTCCAATATGAAATGATCTACACTCACACATATCGAGCAGCCCTCCTCAATCTTTGAAACATTTGACACCTTGTGTCTTCTATTTACCTCAAGACTCTCAATCTTCCTAGACAACTTGGCAATTTTGGAATCCCTCCCCCATGAATTTGGCTATTCCCTTAAGGAGAAGACCTTGGTAAATTGGTGGGATCCATAATATCTCGTGATTGTGCATTCTGTGCTAATGTATCAAAGTAATTTAAGGCCTCATCGGGGTCTTTGTTCAAAAACTCTCCATTACACATCATGTCGATGAACTGTCGATGCCCCGGTGTGATTCCTTTATAGAAGAAGCTCACCAATTGCCATGGTTCAAAGCCAAAGTGTGGAATGGATTAAAATAATTCCTTGTACCGAGATCCCAACATTAGTAGAATTACTCATCGGATTTCTCCAAAAAGTTTTAGATTTGTTTTTTTAGAACGGTGGTTTTATGCATCGGAAAAAATTTGTTTAAAAATTAGGAGAGAATTTGGTTCCAAGTTGTTATGGATCGAGGTATAAAGGAATTAAGTCATGTTTTTGCCTTATCTCTCAAGGAAAAGGGGAACAATTTCAGCCTAGTAATGTCTTTCATACCATGATTGGTGAGGAAGATTGCACCTATTTCCTCGAATCTTTTATGTGCAAGCAGGGGTTCTCCTTCTCAATTCCGTGGAACGTGGGGAGTAGTTGTAACATCCCCGGTTTAACTAAGAAGAAATGAGCTTGGACCAGAAGGAGGATGCATGAGGGTGTGGTACTTCGTGTGGGTTGAAGGAAATCCCTCATTGACCTCATCGAAGGCTCAATGTGGATGTTATTCCCTTCATTCACAGGAGGGAAAAATTACATTTTCGAATTGCGCATTCTAGGTTCTTGTCCTCCCCCATCCCATTGCATGTTTGGATTGACACTTGCATTCTCAAAATTATCACTCGCGTTCCTGGGTGGGTCTTGATCAATGTTCATATTGGGGCCCAAGGGTTGTCTAACTAGTCGGTTTTGTTTGTCCCTTCCGCACATATAACAAACTAACTAAAAATAAAGAGTGTAAACAAACAAAAGTATATACAAGGATCAACGTACCTCAACCCATGATGAACATCACAGGACTTACCTCCATTGTCCGGAAATCACCTTCTTGATTCAACGCTTGCCTTCTTCGGCAACGGCGCCAAAAATACTTGTTTGTTTTTATTGTAGTATATCCTAACCTCCGAACATCATCCCTCCACACATAAACTATACGTATTGAGGGATAATGTTCAAAGGTTAGAATATACTACAACGGAAACAAATAAGCAACTAGTATTAAAAGTCATCTGTTAGCAAAGCACCCACAATGCAGCAAAATTTTCTAATTTGATTCCTAGCAGCTTGAAAATGATATGTGTGTTTCGAGGAAGAAGACCGGGGAAGGTAGGGGTTTGACAAAGAGAGGTGATTGGAGGGTAGTAGGAGTGGAGTCCAGCAGAGTTTGGTTGGCTCCGAAGGTGTAATTGTCGAGTGGGGGATTTGTAAGGGTAAGGGAGGGAGAGAGAAAAGAGCGTGGTTAGTGGGGGAGTAGAAGGGTAGGGGTTTGGTTACTATGGGACGAAGAAAAGGAGAGGCAGGAGGTTGCAGATGGGGGAGGGGAAGTAGGTTGCCACCCCCAATCAATGTTTCTCTCATTTTGTGTGTTATATTTTCACTAATTTTGATAAAGGACAAATAAGTCCCTATGCAAGATCAAAATTTCGTTTTAAAACAGTTGAAACGTTTCCATTTCCAAAGAGACCAAAACGAATCAGTGATGAAATCAAAATTCTAATATTTCAAAATGTTTCATAATGTTTTGAGGTATTTTGTAATGTTTCAATGCATTTACACAATTATTTCGGAATGTTTCAATATATTTTGATATATTTCGACCAATGTTTTGGAAAAATAATTTTTAAATTTTTTATTTTTTTCATTTCATTTCTGAAACAGATCGAAACATGCCAAAACGTTTCCGTTTCCTAGGTAACTGAAACAATGCACTGAAACGAAATTTTGATCCTTGTCCCTATGTCATTTCGAAAATATCATGGGATCATCGTGTTGTTTTAAAATAACTCGAGGGTTTTGAGGGTAGTAATTTACCCCATATTATACCTTAAATCCTGAGGAAAGTAGACAAGTAGCTACGGACGTCCATAAAAGTAGTTGTAAAAAAGACTGATCAAGTCACACATTATTAAAAACTTGTTTTTATTTTTAATTGGTAATATGTTCATAATGACATCTACACTATATATTATTACGAACAAATTAGTTAGGAGAGGCATTGGGATTCCTTCCCTCCTCATTCTCTTCTTTTCTAGAATTTTTGTTTATTTACTTACAAAACAAGATTTTATCAAGTCATTTTCTTCCACATATCCCATGTAACCACCCATTCAACCCCACTAATTAACTACCATTTATTTTGCTTTTCTAAACTCCACGCCACTAATTAACTCTCACTTATTTATTTTTTTTAAAAAAAATTATTTGTATCACCTTATAATTTACAGTAACTATTATCCAATATCTCAAATGATGGGATAAAAAAGTTTAGAACGTTTGGAAAAATTATAAATTTCGTGCATCACAATGGATCGACACTAGTTCTAAATTAAACAAATGAAAAAAGCAGGTCTAGCAGGTGTACTTTGGAGCAAACATTATAATCTTGCCAAAGGGATGGGTAGGCTTCTTGAAGTTGGACACCTTAAACTCCAAACCACCTACAATAACCACCTATTGACAAGTATTGGAAAGGAAAATAAAAATCGCCAAGAATAATTCAGCTAGTTGTCTAGTACAGTTGGTATAAAAAAGTCATAGTCACTAAATACGCAATACGTTTGGAACACAAACTGGCCCTCCTTTTAAAGTTTCTGCCTTTAAATATATACAAAAAGACAAGTCAAGAGTTTGAGAATGGTAGAGAAAGCAAATAGATGTTGAAGGCTGTTAGAACACTATGCAAGTTCAAAATTGAGGATTTTCTGTCTCACCAGATAACGATTCGATTCAGCATGCATACATTGCATATTGTACATGGTAAGAAGGTTGCTGAAGAGGATATTGCATACCTAGCCACCATTGTACCGACTCCATCTCTTTGAAACAATTCCTTCAATAAAACTCCGCCAATAGTTCCATCTAATAGGTGAACTCTCTGAACCCCTCCCTGATGGAAAAGCAAAATAATGGAAAAGGTTGTTAAATACTTAACATAAAATGCATCATAGGAATCAATAAAAGATTGTTAAATGGAAAAGGTTGTTAAATACTTAACATAAAATGCATCATAGGAATCAATAAAAGAACACTTGAGGGTATTTCCTAGGGCCTGACAAAACCTCTCCCAAGTAAATTTGATCAATGTTGAGTTTACAAATAACCTCTTCCTTCCTTTTCGTTTTTTCAGGATTAGTACAAAATATATACCGAAGATGTAAAATGAACTTGAACTCCGCTGTCCGCACCATCCTTTTCGGGATGGCAGGACGTACCATCCAAAGCTATCAGTTGGTGGAGTTGAGAAACTCAAAAATGAATAATTGATTCAGTCTTTCAATATGAAACAATGGAAATATGATGTCATCATTTAGAAGCAGAAATCATCTTAGAACGCAAGGAGGGAACCAAAACATGCTTCTAACCAGCATCACCATTTGCAATTGTTCAGTATTTCTATGACAAACTACATTCAGAATCAAATGCTTAAAATAAACAGAGTTAGACCAGCTACCAATGTCTTTCTGAACCTCACCCTTTGGCTGTTGCACACTCTATGTCATTTGGCATATTTCACAACAGAGAAGAGCCTAACAATCTATCACTGGCCTGACATGAAAAGCTTATATAAAATAATTTTAGACCTTCATTCTACTGAAAGATTGAAGTTTGGAGGTTTAACAAGAGGCATTTTTGCTGATCAGCCAATCATGAATAAGATTTGGAGCCAAATATCAAAGCTATTAGTTTAGCATATTTTCACTGTTGACACCAAATTTTGCTAAAAACATATAGCAGCAAATACAACTCAGATGTAGGTGTGACCGATGTTACACGAATCATTTTTACCAGCAGTTGAAAGAAGTGAAACAATAAGGAACATCATAGGCAAAACCACAACTCTCTTTAGCTTGCATTACATATTGCACCTCCTTACCAATGATTTGAATATATGAAGAACGAATATGACACATTCACAGCATCAAGAAATAACATACAAAAAGTCAATGATGCTTATTATTATAAGATTAATAATGTGTTTTTGGTTAGGTTGATCAAGTATAATGGGCGACCTGATAAGGTGTGTCTATTGATACAACTGTGGACTTACTCTGCAAACAAAGGCGGCAGCAGCCAATTCTGAGGTGTAACCATTCAATCGGCTCAGCCTCTCTTGACCTCCAATGGCAAAACCTTGTTCACTAGACCATAGTCCATTCCCATTGTCAAAACCAACACCATTCTGAAACTTTACAGTATATCTATCTCTAAAACCATTCCCATTCACTGGAGAAGGGACAGTTCCATTGGTATCTTTGTGTTCAAGACAAGTAAGATCATCCCGAGCAACAGCTTTCACATAGTTAGCGGCTATATCGCTTTCCTCAGCTCGCTTGCGAATCCACAAGTCGGCCTCTTGGAGAGGCAAAAAACGAATAAGACGCCCACACTCATCCTGAATAGGGCCATCTATAATGCAGATAAGCTTCTCTGCTCCCAGAGCCAATGCACAAGCTGTAGCAACTTCATATGTGCTGCAATAAAGAGAAGCATGAGACATTCAGAAATTGTCAATGGATTATACGTCACAGCATCATAAGACTATCAAAAGCAGTCTCATCTAATCGATTTACAAATGGTTAGAATGCATTGTATATACAAGTATACAACGTCTGTATATGACTACAATACCATGCTATACCATAGGCATAATTACATCCCATCACCAATGCAGAGTACATTAACGGTACAAGAGGGAACCAAGGGATGATGCATTGCATTTATGATTGTTAGACGCATGACTCTGGAATAATTGATAAGAACCAATTATTGCCTTCTCCTCATTCAGACTTGCTTAAGGGTTGAGAGTTGACACCAGAGTATATACAAGAAGAATTTTTTTTCTTATGACAATGTACCGTGCTGATTACAAGAAGTAGCACAGTGTTATTCAAAGATTTCAATCTAACCTATTAAATTATCAACTCTTCATGTACCAATGTTCTCACTGCTGCCTACTAATTTGTCCACATTTTTTTTTGTTGTTCACCTATTTTTCTGCCTTCACCTTTATGATCAGACTGAAGCACTACTTACCTCGTCAGTCTTAATTTTAGCAAAAACTGCCCCTACAAGGATACTTAGGCAATGTATCTAATCTAATTATGTATGTGGCACAGTTATAAGAAATCCAAAATGGATTACAGCTGAAAAACAAAGCAAACAAATGAAGGGGAAACCAAGCATGGATTTTGGAATAAAAAGAAAAAAACTCTAATAGATAAGAAGTAGAGCTGTTCTGAGAAACACCCTATATAATTCTGCCTAAACATCATATGCTAGAGCAGAGGGGAAAATTGAAGCAAAAACTTAATGTACAATCAGATCATGCCAAGCAGTAACAAAGATACCTATTAAAAGCCATATAGCATACTTGCAATTTAATACTTCTCCAGAGCTGGAATAAGCTAGATTGCTTAAGATCACAATGCACTCCTGATCAAGCCTCTGATGAATGCGAGATACATCTATTTTCTTCACTTCGCCTGTTGCTCCATAATCAATGCCTTCAACAACTCCTCTTCTCTGCCAAAAAAAATATGTCAAACTCACAGCAAAACCAAAATGAAAAACAAATAAACCATGCATACCGAGCGATAAGTTTCAGAAGGCCATTGATCATACCAAAACAAGGCAACAAAATAAAATATTAAACAAAAAGGATACATGCCGAGTTTGCAATAAAACTATGCTCACCTTAGCTGCAAGAAAATTACCACTAGCAACACTGACACCATCATGCCAACGACTATTGTCGCCATGACGACGGACGCCACTTAAGGAGGGTCCAGGAGATAGCTTTGCCTCTATCATTATACGAATCCTCCCAGCTGCGTCCATTGATGCCTCGAGAGAATTAGAGTCTGTAATTCTGTATCGACCAACATACTTGGGCTCACTTCCTGGAAGAAAAATGCATCAGTTTCCCAGCTATTTGACAATATGATGAATTATGAATTAGCCCAAAGGAAACTGTAACTATCGTGAAATTAGACAGAATACATTGTCAAAGTGTTAGGCCTAAGAATAATAAGGAAAAAAAGGCTGTCTACACGCAAAATAGGCAGGGTCACTACATATTATGTATAGCTACTGGGAAACACATTGCCATTCTAACGAGTTACTGAATCAATATGTTTTCTTATCCCAAATTGTTTTAAAGGTTATTACCAGATATAATTAAATTAGAGAACATTCATGTATTAAGGATGAAGTTGGAAGGTCCATAATTAAAATCTTATAGTTTTAGTTCTCTTCTGGTCTGAAAGCTGTGTCTTTGACCATCATGTGAATAAGGTGCAAAATGGTAGGTCAATATGGACCCCAACATCCAATCCACCCTGATGAAACATCCAACTTTCTTAGTCAAAGCAACAAGGCGGCAAAAAAAGTCCTACAACCTCTATCATCACTACAGAATAGTAAGCCTATTTAACATATGGACACCAAACATCCAATCCACCTTGATGAAGCATCGAACTACTTAGTCAAAGCAACCAGAAGGCAAAACCAGTCACACAACCTCAATATCATCACTACATATGACAGTAAGCCTATATAACATCTTGGGCCTCTCAGGCCATAATAATCATTTGTATATGAAGGAAAGTACCCTAAAAAAATAAAAATAATATACTGCCAAAAAATCAAAATGAAGCAATAAAATCACAAGCAAACAAAAAAAAGTTTGGCGTTGCGCTTTATGTGAGACTTTGTTGGGTGGCACCGGTACCATGTCATCTATGATATGTTTGGATGTTATGGGTCATAGGGAAAGAGAAGAATGAAGACCAATTGGTGTTGTGCTTTTTTTGCTACTATTTAGGTCATTTGGTTGGTGAGAAACACAAGTATCTTGGACAAAAATGTGAGGAGGTTGAACTGTTATGGCTTCCTTCTGTTCTTTAGACACTAAAGAGTTCAAGAATGTTCCTCTTTTTTGCACTATGGCAAGTTGGACAGCTTCTTGCAGAATGTAGTATTATATGACTTTGTTTTGCCCGTCATACGACTTGTCCACCTTCGGTTGGTTTTTGTAACTCCTTTTATCTTATTCTATTAATAAAATTGATGTTTCCTATAAAAAAAAAATAAAAAGTTACGGCAGAGCTGAAAGAAAACAAGACATTGAAAAACAAAGCAACCATATTTTAATTACCTCTCTCAGCTAAAAGCTTGTCAATTTGCACATGGGTTCCCGAACTATAACAAATTTGATCCCCAATCCATGGAGAAGAGAGATATCCTGCAGTTCAAAAACAATCAAGTCGGTGACACACATGCAAAAAGACTTTCACACGAAACTTAGAGAACTACAAGAGATACATACAGATACACAGAAAAAATTGAGAATTCCC